CAGCGCTTTTCACGTCTTCTAGACGCCTCAAAGTGCTTCACAATAAAATGAATTGATTATATATTCGTGGGTGAAATGCGGCAGCCAATTGCACACAGCAGTGTCCTACAAACAGTCATGGATTGAAGTAACCAATTTATCATTGTTTTTTTTTCTTGAGGGATTATTATAGGGAGTGTGGAGTAAGGAAACTTGCCCAAGGTTTCGCCCTGCCAGGAATCGAACCCAGATCTCTCGTTGTGAGGCGAGTGCTCTAACCACTGAGCTACAGGACTCCACTCCACAATTTGCCAAGTTTCATGAGTTTCAAGTGAGATTAATGGGAAAAGCATATTGGTGATGCACCCCCATAATAATAATATTCTTCGCATTTGATACAATGCTTTCCATGTTGGGAGGACGTCTCAAAGATCTTCACAGGATTTCCTATAAAGTGTAACGATTGTGCATTTTGTAGACAATTTGCACACAGCAACACCCCACAAACAGCTATTGAAGTGAATTTATCTGAAGGAGAAACTCCATTCCCTTTTTTAATAGTGCTATGGGATTGTTAATAATAATAATAATAATCCTTGCATTTGATATAGCGCTTTTCACGTCGGGAGGACGTCCCAAAGCGCTTCACAGAAGCCATTTGTCCATTTGAATAGACATACAGGACCTTGGTTTAACATCTCATCAGAAGGGTCAGAGATTGGACATTCAGCCGTAATGGATAATTTCAGCAGAGAAATTGCTGTATTCATAGAATCATAAAATGCATATCAAAATGCAAAGTTATAATACAGGGTAAAACACTGGTCTCACAAAACTAGATAAAATCACTCACAATTGGAGCATCAATCACTTCAGAACTGGATGTCTGCAGGGATTTTCTTTACTTTGCTACAAATTGCTACAGGTCTGTCTTTTAGATAAACATTAAAATCGAGGTCCCTGTTCAGGTGGCCATTAAAAATCGCAGGGCACTATTTGACAAAGAGAAGGAAGTTGTTCCCAGTGTCCTGGCCAGCAATCTTCCAGATTAATTGGTCATTTGCCTCACAGTTGTTTGTATGATCTTGCTGGTGCAAGCAGATACCACATTTGCCTGCAAAGAAAAACAGTCACTATACTTGACAGTAATGATCAACGATCTATGAAGCGCTTTGACACATTTCAAACGACACAGTATAACAATGAAAATTCTTTCTTTAACTGAGTGCTCGAATTAATCTACATGAAAGAGCTACAGTTAGGAACGGTGACAAAACATGTATCAAAATGCAAATAAGTGAAGCCACACTCATTTTACAACTTCAAAGCAAAATATCTTTAAAGCTGCTGCGGGAGATAGCCATTCAGAACAATAATTACACATCACTTTGTCACAGTGAGACTTTGTGGACGCATCACAATTTTTGTGTGACTCAATGATTTATTTTTCTGGTTTTGCCCCTCTTCTGAAGGTGGTAGTTTACACTAGGATGCAGTACCAATAACCTCCCACTTCCCTAGAACATTGCTTGAATATCCATTATTCATGTATGAAACCAGTTTAAACAAGGAGGGAGGGAGAGAGGGAGGAGAAGGGGGGAGGGACATCACTGACAAACCTGACAATATTTTTACACAAAAACAGAAGTCGCTGGGAATACTAACATTGTACTGACGAAGGGTCGTGGACCCGAAACGTTGACTCACTTTCCTTTTCTCCGTAGATGCTGCCTGGCCTGCTGAGTGTTCCCAGCGACTTCTGTTTTTGTTTCAGATTTCCAGCATCCGCAGTATTTTGCATTTGCTTATATTTAATTCACTGCCACTTCTCTTCTAGGGATGCCTACCTTGAAGAAGTTCAGGTCTTCTCTTCGATGTGACTTTCATTCTTCCCTTTTACACTGCTTTCCTTTGCTATCTGTTTCCCTTCTTGTGTTTGATGATGTGCTCACTTCTGACGAAGGGTCATGGACCCGAAACGTTGACTCACTTTCCTTTCTCCATAGTTGCTGCCTGATCTGCTGAGTGTTCCCAGCGACTTCTGCTTTTGTTTCAGATTTCCAGCATTTGCAGTATTTTGCGTAATGTTTTGACACATTGAGGACCAAAAGATGATATTTACGAACTGTATTTGCAACTAGTTATCGCCATGGACTAATTGGGCCATGGATGAATGGCCTGTTTTTGTCCTGAAAAAATGATGCTGTTGTTGTATGTAATTCTATGTATTTATTGCATTAATTGTGACTTGCTGTTTGCTAATATCAGATTACAAGGTTTGTTTGCAAAATTGAATGCTGGCAAAGTCTGAAAAAAGCAAAACAATGGAAATCTAGGATTTCAAATCTTACCAGCTGGGCATTTGCAAATAATGCAACAAAACCGAATATCACTTTTTAGACCTCAAAGTCTAGTCAAGGCAAAATCTATCACAGACTTTTCCAGCCTAAACCATTGCATAGTATTCAGTAATCAGAATGATTGTTACCCCTGCCTCACCTCCCTCCCCCTTCCTAAATGGGAGAAGGGAATGGGGACGGAGCAGGGGTAAGATAAATGCTCAACAGTATATGATACCTTACATGGGGTAAACTGTGGGTAAAGTGCCTAAGCATAGAGAATGTGCCTCATGAATGTCACACTGATTCTCGAGGACTCCACTCTAACGAGAGATTGCCTTAAGGAAGATTTCTCACAGGTTAACAAGATGGACATGGCTTCTTATACACAATGTAATTTGCATTCTGAGCTATCATTCTGGTATAAGATATCACTTGCTGTTCTCATCTGTATGTCTTTTCAACCCCAGTGAGGCTAATTCTCTTGTCCCCATCGCTGTGCTGTTCAGACCAGCTACCCCATTCCAAGAATCAAACCATGGGATCTTCCTGCTCAGGACTGCAATGCATCAACGTTGAATACATGGCAAAGAGGCATACATTTATGAAATAATGAAAATGTGATTGATTGAAGCAGAAAGCTTTAATGTATGTAAGAAGAAAGTTGATGCATACATGATGGAGAAGTGAATAGTGAGATATAGGAGAGGGGATTGGAATACAGGACAAGAGAATAATTGTGCGTCCTGTAGCTTATTGGTTAGAGCACTCAAAAATGTATGTACAGGAAACATGTGCGTGTACGGTGCACATTGGGGCGCCTTCCAAAAGCGGAAAGTATGCCTTATCAGGGTATGCGCGTGTGCACACGTGGATGTGGTGTACACAGGGACGACTCCAGACTGTTTTAAAGGGGAGTCCCAAAAAACGTGTGCACAACCTGTGAAGGAATGTACCGTAAACAATGGAATTGTTTTTGTATTGGCAGAAAGGGGAAAAATTGCAACAGAAGATGTTGTACATTGTGCTTGTTTTAGATTTCTGTTGTACTAAACATTATATTTATAAATAAATATATAATTTTAAAAAACTATTAGCTAGAGCACCTGCCTCGCAAGCAAGAGGACCTGCCTGTTTCCCCAGCAGTAAGTAGGAACCGGGTTGTTAGTCAATTAGCGGATCTCTTTTCCGGGGCTAATAATCCCTTCCGAAAATAAGTAATTTGGTCACTCAATCCGCGACTGTTTGTAGAACACTGCTGTGTGCAATTGGCTATCGCGTTTTGCCCCCTAAGAGATGAAGGGGGAGTAAACTTGGAGAATAAGTACGTTGCTAAATAAGAGTAGTTAATACTGGATCCATACTTTTTTGTTCCCCTTGGAAAGGGAGCTGGAGTTTGGTGTTGCTATAAAAAGCATCAAACCTGGAGAGAAACAAAGTTGAAGCTTTAGGGATGGAGTGATCTGCCCCAGTCAAGCATCCCGTTTAAATGCTCCGGCTTACTGGAGACAAACTGCCTCTTCTCATTCCACAGATTCTTGTCCTTTACTTTGGGAGAGGTGTGTGTGTGTGTTGGGGTGATTGGCAGCAAAACATTAAAATATTCACCCACAAATATACGGTCATTCACTTTACAGTCTATTCTGTGAAGCGCTTTGAGACGTCGAGAAGATGTGAAAAGCGCTATACCAAATGCAAAGATTATTATTATTGTTGTTATTATTAAAACAAGAGTGCAGCATCTTACAGTGAAAATAACCCCAGTCTGGGTGTTCCTGTCTGCATTACATTGTTTTCAAACAACCAACCGCTGTTATTTATTTTTGCAGCAGGTCTCTGATTAAACAAAAATGTGGCTTGGCATCGTTAGCGATCCAAATCAAGAGGTTTTAGGAAATTGTGATCGTTTTTGTTTGGTTGCAAAAGGTGTGGGGGGGGTGGGGGGGTGAGGTTGGTAGGGGCGATGGAAGCTTGTACACTGAATGATGCAAGTGTGAGGCCTGCTGGCTCTGTAGCACATGGTAAAGGGGATGATCCCTCAACCCTATACATGCACTCACTCACTCACTCACTCACTCACTCACTGTGTGGAAGCAAAGGCTAGAATCAGGTTTGGAGATCTCACTTGGAAAATGCACATTTTCTGTGTGTGATGAGAAGGAGTGAAGGGGGGGGGGGGGGGGGGGTCAAGAGGGGTTGGGAGGAGGTACTTTATTTGCATCTCATGTAACAACCTGAGCATCTGCATGTATGGACTACGTTCCCTGCAGCAACAGAGCGAGAAAAAAGAAGTGGATCCCCCAACTTGGGAAAGCGCTGACTCTGAGCTCCTGCAGCCACGACACTTATTACATAAAAGCTGCTGTGTCTGTGTGTGCGTGAAAGAGGGTGGGATCAGGCGCTGTGACTGGTGGCCTCCCCCCTCCCTCCCTCCCTCCAGCCCCCTACTTCTGGGTGAAGTTCTCCAGTTGGTTGGACGTGGGTTCACTTCTTCCCTCCCTCCCTCTCCATCCCTCCCTCCCTCCCTCCTCCCTCCTCCCTCCCTCCCCTGTCCGATGATTGCTCTGGACGTGAGATAGCGCTTCGTAGCGTTTGCACAGAGCCAGTGCGAGGCGCACACTGCGCTCTCCGGTACAACACAGCAAACTATCTCCTCCTCCACAACACACACACTCACACACACAGACACTCACACACACACAGACACTCACACACACACTCACACACATTGCATTAGGACACGACAAAGCCCCGCACATCCCATCCCATCCCCATCCCCATCCCCAGCACTTGGGGAGGATGGCGGCTGCCACCCGCAGCAGTAACGCCGCCGCCGCCGCCTCCTTGCAAATCAAACACCCCGGGATCGACCCCACCAGGAAGCGGATAGACCCGAGGAGGAGACAGGCGGCGCTCAGCTTCCTCACCAACATCTCCCTGGACGGGCGGCTGGTGCCGGGCGGCTGCGGGCGGCAGCAGGAGCGGGAGCGGCAGCAGGAGCGGGAGCGGCAGCGGCAGGAGAGCGGGGCTGGCGCCGGGGACGAGGAGCCGCCGGCGAGCAGCCCCCGCCCCGGCAGCCAGACCCTGCCCCCGCCCCCGCCCCAGCCCCAGCCCCAGCCCCCGCCGCCAGCCGCCCCGACCTGTGCACAGCCTCCGCTCTGCAAACCCGGGGCTCCCCCGCCCGCAGCCTCCTCCATCGCCGCTCCGATCTGCGGTGATTTAGCGGAGGAGGAGGCGGCGGAGGCGGTGTTTGCGGAGCGCAGGTTACAGCCGTGCGGCGCTGCTGCCTCTCCGCTCGCCGCTGCCGGTGCCCCTGCAGGCGGCAGCAGCAGAGCGAGGATCAACTCCTTCACTCAGGGAATCCTACCCACTGCCTTCTCCAGACAGGCGTCAGTCCCCAACTACTGCCTGGAACAGGGGCAGATGGGCAACAGTACTTTTGATCTGCAGAGATCCAGGTGAGTGCGGTGTTTGGCATTGTCACAAATAACAACAACAGTAACAATAACAATAACAAAGCTGACGTATGGCCATCTATTGGCAATGTGGACCGGTTGTGATCAGCAGTCACACACCTGATGGTTTAAGATTTTTTTTTAATTCCCCCCCACTCCCCCACTCCACCCCCACTCCATGTGCGTTGCATGTTGCAATGTGGCACTCACTCACTCACTCACTCACTCACTCACTGTGTGTTTGTGCAATGTTTGTTTACACCCCGTGTCTCAATAGCACACAAGGGCTCACTCCCATAATTCGGTGTCAGGGTCACAGGCTGGAGTTTGGACTTCGTGTGGGGCTGTAGATTGTGTTATACAGTGTATGTGCAATGCTACAGTAATTTATATGCAGATTAAAAAGAGCTACACTATTTCAGTGGAGGCCTTTATACCGATTCACTGTATATCTTCTATCTGAAGTACTGTATATCTTCTGAAGTACAGTGCTTAAGATAATACACGTTATGGGAGTCAAATATTTTCGACAGTTTACCTCCAGTGATTAATTGCTTTCGTTTTTTTTAAAGAGTTTTTGCTTCCAAAAATGTTCTTAAATTGTAGCAATGATTTCACATTTTTAAATCACATCAGAGACGCTCTTTATTTAAGATTACTTTTCACCCATAAAAGCCTTTGCAAATCACTCTTTTCCTCCTGCCTGAAATGCATGTTCTTGTTTGGGTAACCCCACAGTAACTTAGCTTTTGGAGGAATGTTAGGCTGAATAATTCATCCCTGGTTCTGTTGAAAAGCATAGAGTACCAAAGTCTTGGGAGCAGCAACTGAACCCACAATGTGAAATATTTTAGCAGCTTTGTGCCTGGGAATGCTAATCCTGTGGGTGGGAGGAGTTGGGGGTCTTGTGGTTGTGTCTTGAGCAAAGTCTCCTCTGATGCTGCTCTTGGCCCCTCATGGTTTTGCTGGATGTTAAATGCATTGTTGTGTGTCCTGTTTAAAATCTTCCCCTTTCTGTAAGCCATGTAACATCAGGATCTTGGCAATTATCCCACTCAGATGTGGTAACTCATCTTTCGACTGGTGTAATCCATTAGGAACCGTGCTGCAATACACACCCACCGAATTGCACCATGTGCAATAACATGTAAAACGGTTGTCTCAGGCCCTGCATTGTAGTAGAAGGAAGTATGTTTGGTCTTTTGCTGAAAACCTGGCACAGTGAATGCAAGATGTAATACATTTAGGTTTTATTTACCACTAGCTGTAACCGTTTCACCTTCGCTTGCAACCAAACGATCCAATATAGAATGTAGATTGACACACAGACAGACATTTCGTCTTTATCTATACTCAACTGGTAGGACGCCTGTTGGGAGGACTCAGTGGGAAGATTCAGTGGGAGGACTCTTGTTGGGAGGTTTCCTTGTTGGAGTGCATACATGTGTGATGAACTTGTTTAGGTCATAGCTTTTCTCTGCTACTTTGTATATTGGTATAGATGTATCTCTCTAGAAGGATATACGATTTCCTCTGTCGCTACTTTGTTGCAGAATGCCATGCATATCTTTATTTTGGGGCTTAATTAAAGCATTTTTTAAATAGAGCTCATCAACGAAATGAGATCCCCGAGGAAAAAAAATATGCCCATGACACTCCTCCATGCAAGACCTTTCCGATGAGGTATAAATCATGTCTTTACGACAATCGGTTATTGCATGCTTGGCAGAAAGACACACATACACACAGCCATTTTTCACCCCTCTGTTTATTTATCAGCTTTGAGTAGTTATGGATAACTTTATTGTAGTTCACCCACAAAATACACAATCAAACCACTTTGCACTATTATCATGTGAAGTGCTTTGAGATGTTTTGACAATGTGATAAGGCACTACATCAAACACAAGATTTATGTTGTGTTGCACAAGTTATTTACAGGGTCTCTTTGGAGCTGAACGGGCCCCAAAGTGACATGCCTGGCAATGGAATGTCAGAATCGAGCCAGTCCTCCATTACTCCCGCATTTACCAGCAGCGGGCAAAGATGTCCTCAACCGCCGTCAAATTTGCCCTTACCAGCCAGTTGCATTGAATTTATGGAAAACATAGTCTTAATCCATTGCTACATGCACAGATGAACTTCATTTCCTGCGATTCAATGCAATTCCAATGTTTGCTGGTAACTGTGCGTGCGGCGACGAGTCAAGACACATTGAATTGTGGGAAATGTAGTCTTGATCCATCACCGCTTGTGCACTTACAGGCTTCAGTGACATAGTACTGCATGCTCACTTACCGCTGCATTGAATTGAATTACGTATGTGCAGTGTAGATTATTGATTATATCTGATTTTATATGACATACAGTTTGGTGGCAACTCAGAATTGGCGTATGTCGTATTAAATGTTATGGTTCCGACTGATATGACTTATGTGAGTTTTACTGAATGTGTTTTGTAGGATGTACTTAATTCATCACATCAAATTGCTCACCACACTTCCGTGACCAGTCATAGACTGTGTCTGCCAGTGCTTGATTCTAATGCTGTAGACTTCAAAATGTTGCCTTTGCTCACAATTCAATTTTTGTCCTTATATTGCTGGGTATTATAGATTTCCATGTTATTGCATAGCCTGTGTTCTCAGCCCCACCACCGACCATTGTCACTGTTGGATACATCATAGTTAATTGTCTTTTGGTGTGATCATTTTGCATCTCCCGAAGCTATACCACATTCAAATGTCAAATGCCTAATGTGGCAAAGTATACTGTGTTTATACTAGAGTTCAAATGTCTAACTGTAACTTGGCAGTATGATAAAATGAACAGTTAATTCTCAACTCTGTTAAATATATATTGGAGTTTGGAAATATAGAGTTTGTAGAGAAAATAACTTGGATGATAGTAATGGTTTAAGTTACAAGAATGCATATGCTAGCAAATGTAATGCTAAACTAATTCTTACATACACAGTAGTTAATAGTAATCCTTATATTTGATATAGCACCTAAAATGTTGAAATGCCTCAACGAGTTTCATGGGTAATTGCTGTCAGGTACAGTGACTGTATGTTTGTAGGCAAGTGAAGAGGTCAGTTTGCACACAATATCCTGCATGCAGTGATCAAGTAAATGATCAATTTATCTAGAGGATTATTGACCAGGACACTGGGAGAAGATTCCTTCTTTTCGAATTGTGTTATATAATCTTTAACACTCACGTGGCAAGGCAGACAGGTCCTCAGACAAACATCTCATCCAAATGTGGACACATCTAATAACGCTTGCTCCCCCAGCACTGTGATGGAATGTCAGCTCAAATGGACCGTGAACTCAAAGTGGCTTGAACCCACAACCTTTTGACTCAGGAGGCAAGAATTTGACCAAGCCGACTTGGATGCCGTAAATGATCAAAGTTAAAATGGCGAACCTTGTCATGTGAGAATAAGCCAGATATCGACCTTATTAGTCAAAGAAAAAACGCAAAATCTCATATATATATATTGATTATAATTCGGTTTCCCACCTAAATACTCCCAGAGTAGGACATTGCTTTCATTTGCTTCCCATAGTTTGGTATGAATTATGCCATTTCTCATCTAAGCCACTAAATAGTATGCATTGCTTGGTGGAGTATTCTAATAATAATAATAATGCTTGTATTTGATATTGTAGCTCAAAGAGAAGAAGGAAGTGGCATTGTCTGTCTCACTGCCCTGGAAATACACTCTTTTAGCAGCTGAGTGTTTTAACAGTAGTGCTGGCTGTAGTCATGGAGAGTTTATTAATAATAATAATCATAAATAATCCTTGCATTGATGTAGTGCCTTAGCACATTGTTGAGACGTCTCAAAGCGTTTCAAAGATATATTCTTACATATACGTATATGGTGTTTCACCCACAAAAATATAGTCAATTCACTTTACAGTATATTCTGTGAAGTGCTTTGAGATGTCTTGAAGTCGTGATAAGGCGCTATATCAAATGCAAGGATTATTATTATATATTGTAAAGTGGATTTATTGTGTATTTTGTTTGCGAATTGCGGCAGCCAATTGCGCACAGCAGTGTCCCACAACCAGTTGTGGATTGAGTGACCAATCCACAATCCCACCCAAAAAATATTGGGGGGAGGGAGGGTTTAATACCCCCATAAAAGCGATCTGCCAATTGACTAACAACCGGGTTCCTACTTACTGCTAGGTAAACAGAAGCATGTGGAGTAAGGAAACTTGCCCAAGGTTTCTCCCTGCCTGGGAATTTGGAGCTTTCACTTCCCTGTTCTTTCTGCTGAGCTGCAATGGCTTGGTGGATGGACTGAGGTGCAAAATTCAAGGAGATGGGGGGGCAAAAAGTAACTGTAACAATGTATATTGTTTTGTTACGACAACTATTTTGTGATGGGTTTTCAATGTATTTTATTCCTAGATTCTCCCTTCATAACATGCCAGAGTGTTCATTTTCCAGTGGAGAGGTTCCATTAAGAGCTTTGAGATGTCCTCTCAAGTGAAAGGTGCTATATAAATGTAAATTGTTGATGTTGGCCCTGATATAATGTGCACCATAATGACACCGTTGTTCAGTAACCAGTCTGCTAATAAGCATCCACAAGGCAGAGCCCATTGGTCCAAAATTCCGTCTCCTCTTAGTGTGTAAAACCAATTTGACTATTGTGAGTTTGTGTAGAATTGTTAAATTCAGTTTTAAGTTTCAAGGTAGACTTTCAGGTTCCAGGCTGAAACTAGTAGAATTCTGGGCCTCTGATTGTCTGCTAAACCCTCGCCTCGAAAAAGTACTTTGACCCGTCACTGATCTGCAATCCAGTATCCATCTAAGGTTTGTGATGCACTAAGCATATTTACCACCAATTATGTGCAACCTTTATAGTGTGATTAAAAGACAGATGAAGATGGCTTGAAGCTTACATTAAGAACTAAGATGGTTCACCTGTACTGTAGTTATGATAACAGATTATCAAGCTTCTATAGCATCAAGAGACA